GTAGCTTTATACTTAACAACAACCAAAACATACCTTGTACACTAAATTCTCAGGTTCTACCTCAGTTGTCCAATTCATCGGACAAACTTTGATGCATAGAAACTGATCTTCTGAGCCTGTATTCATTGAGACAAAATAACCGACGCTGTGCGGGACCCTGTCAATACGTAAATTAAACTCAAATATGAGAAAGCATTATATACTTCAAAATACGAATTCACGTGCTTTTTATGTGGTTATTTCACTTCGAAAATTTACTGTTTATTATTACAAGTTCTTCGACAATTTACTGTCTGTTGTTACAAGTTCTTCGACAATTTACTGTTTATTATTACAAGTTCTTCGACAATTTACTGTTTATTGTTACAAGTTCTTCGCCAAATTTGTAGAACTTCAATTTTTTTAACATCTATTCCAATGGAGAGCGTGGCCAACCCGAAGAGATGATCCTGATACATGGACGATCTTAGATAATAGATAACATTTAATTGACTTGAAAACCTCCATTCATAAATGCACCAATCACTGGAGCTGTAAGTAGCACCATTTTGCACATGCATCAGTCATTGGAGCTGTAAGTAGCACCCTCTCACAGATGAACCAGTCACTGAAACTGTAAGTAGCACCCTCTCACAGATGAACTAGTCACTGGAGCTGTAAGTAGCACCCTCTCACAGATGCACGAGCTGTAAGTAGCACCGTCATACAGATGAACCACTCACTGGAGCTGTAAGTAACACCCTCTCACAGATGCACTATTCACTGGAGCTGTAAGTATCTCGCTCTCATAGATACATCAGTCTTCGTAGCTGTAAGTAGTACCCTCTCGTATATGCACCCATCACTGGAGCTGTAAGTAGCTCCCTCTCATTGATACATCAGTTATTGGAGCTGTAAACAGCACCCTTTCACAGATGCACCCATCACTGGAGCTGTAAGTGGCACCCTCTCACAGATGCATCAGATACTAGATCTGTAAGTAGAATTCACTCACAAATACACCAGTAACTGGATCTGTAAGCAGCACCCTGAAATCAGTGCCCACATTACAATTTACTTTCGGTGTTTGTTGCTGTTTATTTCAAAATTAGACCAATTAGTTCCGGTCTAAATTCAATGATGGTTTCCTTTTATTGACGCCTGATACTCTTACCATTCTTGAACTACATCGGAAATAAATGTAAAGAAAACAGACAGTTAAAAAAGTAAAGAAAGTGTGTGAATAGTAATGTTGCCCTGTAAATCTTCAAAACAACAAACGATGAAAAAACGAACTATATCTCGACTTTGATGTTCAACCTCTAAATCAGTTTCGTCAACACCCAACTTACTTTTAACAGTCCTTGATAACGTTTCAGCTAAATCCATATACGCTTTTATTAGTTCATCGTGTTCTACATCTTGAGTTACATAAATTCCAAATTTGACATTCAATCACAAATCAACTGAACGCTATACCCTCCCAATATCATTAAAAAACAGTTTGCTACAACGTAGAAAAAAGTCTGTTTAGAATCATTGTTTGTTGTGCAGCAATGAATGTCTCATCCTCATATTCGCAGCTAGTAAAGACTTTCTTCTGTTTGGCATGGGTCTCCGGTAGTTCTAGAAAACGTACAATTATTTTGCCACTTCGCTAGTGCTTGCCATGGCACTTTGGAAACCATACTTAAAAATGGCTTATCGTATTGCTAAGTTAATAGTAATACTAATTCTCATTGTTGAGGTCTACATTTGTTGACTGACTGGATTTATTAATATTTATACAAGTACATCATATCAAAGAGAAAGAAAATTAAAAGTGCTACTAGTATATATTTTGTAAACTATCTAACAAGTTTTATATTTTCACTTTTATACGCCTGTCTAGTGCCGGAAAGAATTTAGAGCTTAAAATTGACAAAGGACTTCAAAATTTCTCAGCTTCTAATTGATGTCGCAAATATATATATAAATTCTTTAAATAAAACCGAAAAGTTTTTGATTCTTTAAACTAAGTAGAAAAACGTTTTTGACCAATTTAAAAAAATTGCCGCATAACAGAGTACAAGTTTTAAAGGATGACAGCCACAAGGTACAAAAAATATCATTTTGTTTAACTGCAACAACTTGGGTTGCGTAACTATGGGTTAGCCCCATAAATATGAACTCGGAAACCTTTTAGCGGTATTCCGTTTTTCGTAAGCTCTTCAAGGGAAGGTAAAAGAATGGAGTAGAAATTCGCTAATGAATTACAAGTGTAAAACTGTAAAATGGTAGGAGAATTCATTTGTGTACGACAGATATAGACCAGTAAAATGGTAGCAAGTTCAACTTGTGAATGATAGGTGTAGACCAGTAAAATGGTAACAAGTTTAACTTGTGAATGATAGGTGTAGACCAGTAAAATGGTAACAAGTTTAACTTGTGAATGATAGGTGTAGACCAGTAAAATGGTAACAAGTTTAACTTGTG